CATACATACATACATACATACATACATACATACATACATACATACATACATACAGGCTATTTAATCTTGATCATATGCACTTGCATTCCCCAGTTCAACTTCTTCTGGACCTCCCTTGGCAACCCATGCCATAGCCCTTTTCAAATCTCATTTCCTCCCCTTTTTAGTACTGCCTGGATATGTATAGGATTTGGCCATCCATTAGTGCATGGACACCCAGCTGGGATGGGGGCCACTGTACGCCTAAAGAGAACCGAGTCTCCCTTCACCAGTAGATAGTAAATGGCCAACTCTGGCTCTTACTATCTTCCTGCCTTCTGTTGTGGGATTTCTCTGAGCCATAGTGGGAAGGGATGTGATGAAGATGTTCTATTTATGACGGAGGATCTGACAGTCACTTACTCCCTGCATGTTGACAACCACAGGCCACTGCAAAAATAAACTTCTTTGTTGAGGGCGGAGAGCCCTGGGTATAAAGATAAGGATTTAGGAGGCTGCCAAACTTTTATAACTGCTGTAAAACCAGTAGTCACGGACTGCTTAGTTTCTGATTTTAGTTGTGTCTTCCATTTTCTTTTCTTTTAGTTTAGCTAAAGGTTTTTCTCAGTTTGTATTTATTTATTTTCATTTTTTAAAAATCAGGTCTTAGATCTGTAATTTATTTTTCTTTTTCTCTTAAATATTTTGTGGCTTACCTTATGTTATTTCATTTCTTCTGAATGAGAATGAAGACAATGAGAAACCATTGTTTCTCCTTTTCTGTTTTCTTTTTAGTGACTAAATTTTTCCTTTGGCAGGTTCGTGTGTGTGTATATAGTATGTTGTACTGACTTTTACTCCTTACCGTCTCTTACCTCTCTTATACCCTGTTACACCTCCTTTTCCTTCCAGGTCCCCTTTTCATTTTGTTTTGTTACTTACTGATTTTATCCAGGATTGTCTGTGTCGCCCTGTGTTTGGAACTATCCACTGGAGCCTTGGACTCAACTAAAAACAGGGGACTGTTCCTCCCTAGAATGTTAGTTGCTAGTAGTTAGGCAGGGAGGGGTAGGGCCCCCTGAGCTCCCTTCCCTATCAATGATTGGCTGTTGGTGGGCTCAGTCTTATCCAGATCCAATGTGGACAACTGTAGCTATGTTTGCAATGGTTATGCCATGCCCTAAAGAGAGCATTTCAAAGTCTTCTCCCTACCTTTTGGCTTTATACTTTGTGTTCTCTCTTTCATGATGTCCTCCAAGCCATAGAGGAAGTGCTATAACATCCTATTGAGGGCTGAGCACTCTCTATGTCCAGCGCTGGAAGTGTGCACGGGACCGTTTCCTGATGTCTTAAGACATGAAATTAGATGGTTAACTTGAGCTGTTTCATCTTTTAAGTGTGTGCACAGCTGTGAAATTTCTGGATTTCATTAATTTTTTTCACGGGGCGGGTGTTGTTCCTTGAGAAGACTGACTTTCCCTCTCTCAATAGCCACTAATTGCTTATAGTTCTTCATCTGGGGTTTGGGCATCTCCTCCTCCTTTTCCACCTCCTCTTCTCTGCCCTGTCTTCCTCTATTTCAAAGGATAAGTATATTGGTTTGATTAATGGTATCACCTAAGTTCATTAGGGCCTGTTCACATTTTTCATTCATTTTTCTTTTCTTTTCCTTAAGGTTGGTGACTTCAAATGATCATTTTCAAGTTTACTTATTGTTCACTTTGTCTAGTACATGTACATGCATGTATGTGTATGCTTTTTAGATTCTTCTGAAGACTTTTTCATTTATTTATTCTCTTACACTGTCATATATGAAATATGTATTTCACACACATGTAAATATGTATACATGTTCTTTGACCAAAGCCCTCCTAAAACACTCTCATCTCCTTCTCCTTTCCATCAAATCAAGGCCCACCCTTTCATGTTTTTCCCTCTTTTTTTTTGGTTTGTGATTCTGAGGGACCTCACACATTCTAGGAAACTTCTGTCATCTTCCACTAGATTTATGTTCCCAACCTCTATGGGAGGTTATTTGTGTGTGTACCCCATGGCTTTTGGTTGAACAAGTCATTAAAAAAAACAACCATCTTTCCCTGTTTCTGCAAATGGTCAGAGAAGACCTTCACTAATTGATGGGGTTTTGAACTTGGAAAATCAGCCCAGGATGAAGATACACAATCTCTTATATTTTCTGGACATGTATTATATCTAAACCTTCCACCTTCCCACCCAAACCCTGAATTTCTTTACAAGTGATCATAACCAAACATCTTATTCCAGTTTCTTCTTAGATGTTTGCCATATTTTTGGGGGCCTATAATTCTATTGTTCCAGTCAATTACAAGTTTGCAGTCTTCTTCAGTGTTGGCATGCTGCTGCATCTGCCACTGCCTCCTTCAGCTTCCAGCCTGGGTCCAAAGTGGGCTGATACTTCCTGTCTGAGTCCCACGTCATCTGAGATGGAAGCCATTTTACTAGGCAGTCCACAGACAGACCAGGCATTTCAAATGAGTTTCACTTTATTCTTCCATCCTGGGGTGTGGAAGTGAAATTTGAGAGGCTGCCTCTTAACCACATCATGCTACACATAGGAGGGTTGGGGCCAAGGGTGAGTATAAACATGGCACATCTTCCGGCTACCATACCAGTGGTCAGGACACTTGTTTGCTTAGGTCTTGGAATGGTTTTTAGACCACTCTAGTTAGTCTCTGGTTGTTTGATGTTTCTATGGGATGACATGGGGCTGATGTTCCTTGCTTCAGTGTCTGATGATGTTACTCTCACTTACACCCAAAGCCTATTGAAATTCTTGTTCTCAGTGTAATGTGCTACTAGTAATTTGTGATGAGAGTAAATTTAGATATTAAGGTTCCTACTACTCATTGAGCTTCTGTTTATCTCTTTTCCTCAGTATAAGCACGGGGGACCCATCATTGCTGTGCAACTGGAGAATGAATACGGTTCCTATAACAAAGACAGGGCCTACATGCCTTACATCAAGAAGGTAAGGGTCATATAATTTGTTTCTTCACATTGTTTCCTCTGAAATTTATTACAGACTGTGACAACGTTGCTCTAATGCATTTCTCAAATAAATACACCATGCCTCCCAACACCGCTTCCTAATTAGTGAAGTTTTCTCCATGAGTTGTCACTTTTTTTTTTTTTTTACTCTTTATTGATTGAGGCTAGTGTGATAGTTAAGAATAAAGCAATTACCTTTATTAAGTGGACGTAGAGGCAATGAAAGCTTTGTGGACTGTCCACCTTTTCTAGCACAAAGCCAGATTTGTGGCTGTACATAGATTTTATTGAGGAAATGTTAAACAAAAACTCTAGCCAGCTACATACGATTTTCAATACAAAGATCTCTGGTGGTGGTGTGTAGACAGCAGATTGTAGAGTCAGTGGACAGGTGAGAGCTGCAAATTCACATGGCATGGCAGAGAAGGGTAGTGGGGGTGACAGCAAACAGGCCCAGCACTCAGATCCAGTTTCTCCCGCTTGATAGTTGAGGCTCTGAGTAAAAGCCTCAGTTTTCCTAAGGCTCCTTTTTCTCTCTTCTACAAAGTGGGCTAAAAGGAATGTCTGCCTTTTTTTGCATTATGTGACATCAGGTGGCCTGTTACTGTTCCAGGTATACAGTAAGTTGTCAATAAATGTTGATAGAGCCATTGGCATTTATGTCAGTGAACTGTAGGGAGCTAGCCATGGTGTGAGCTGAGGAAATAGGAAATGGAGTCTTTGGAATCAGTCTGACTAAAGGTCAATGGCTTTGGCTCAGATGGTCTGGGCAGGGCATCTACTGCTCTTGCCCTCAGCTTAAATTTTCTATCTAGGGTTTACTTTTGTTCCTACAGACTGGAGACTGAGGCTCAAGTGTTCCAATTTCTAGTCTCTTCTTTCCCAGCCCTTCTTCATACTTGAGGAGAGCTCTCAGTATGGTACTGGCTGTCTAGGAATGGTGGCATTCCTCAAGCTGGAAAGGGGTAAGGTCAGTCCTTGTCTATATCCTGGACAGAGCACGTATCTAACTCTCTTGTCTTGGGTCACCTAGAAACGCCTACTGCTGGGCATAGACTCCAGAGCTCTTCATGATACAGTCCTCTGTCAGACTCCCTTGAGCTCCAGTGCATCTCCAGCAGTTGTTTATCAGTGATGCAGCTGCAGAGGAGAGCTTTGAGGAGCTTCAGGAATAGAGAGTAGTTCCTTTGGGGACCTTGTCTGCACAGCCATGCTTCCCTGGTGCCCAGCACTCAGGCTGCAGAGGCTCTTGGGAGATTCCTTTCCTGAACTGCTATGCAGCTTCTCCTGGGGATGATGGCAAGATGTGCATACCACTGGCATCGAATGACCTTAGGCATGACCCCCTCAACTTTCTGAGCCCTACTCTCTTCATGTGCAAAAGGGACACAAGATGCCCTTTCCTAAGGCTTCTGTGAGCTCTGTGTTTGTAGGAAATAGTAATTGGCCTTTAAAAGGCTAGTCCAAAATATTAATGTCTTTAAAATTTAAGGGTATAGAAAATTAAGTGTTCTGTGTCAGTGAGTAACTAGTTGGGTAGTTGGAGGAGGTTGGCCCAGGGCTTGTAATAGAGATCCCACCAATATTCCTCATGGACTAAATGCTTCAGCTCTTGTCATCCCTGAGAGTTGGAGTCCCTTCTGCTCTGTCCTCAGATTATATGGGATCTGGAATTATTGTTAGATGCTACCACTCTGTCTCCAGAAGAATTCGGTTGAAATAGTCTTTTCATAGTAAAATCACCTTTGTAGGATTTTTTGAGTCCAGAGTGCCAGAGTGGAACCTGTGTGTGTGGACATGTTCTGAGTTCAGCCCCACCTCTCACATGACCCCTGTAAATGAACATGCTTCATTCAGCCTCTCTGCTGCTTTGTCTGTGCTGTTCAGATGTTGGCTATGAAGAGTGTAGGAGGCAGTCAAAGTGCTCAGCATTATGCTTGGCTAATGTTATGATGTTAGCAGTTACTCTGAGTGACAGCAGTCCTGTTGCTCCTTGAGCAGTGGGTTTTATTTATGCCCTCAAAGGAGTGCTTCTCAGTTCTTCTGGGCATGACCAGCACTCCATGGACATGCCACTGAGGTATGGTCAGGCCATCATTGCTCCTGCCATTGACCAAGCTCACACTGGCTCAGAGTGGGGAAGAGACAGGCTGCTTGTTCATGTGTGGGCGAAGGGCAAAGTATAGTGTTCCACTGGCGACCTGACCTTCTCACTGGAGCTCTGCAAGTAGTTGCCATGTGCTAGTATGGCATGCAAGCCCCCCCCCCCCCCCCAGCCAGCCTCTACGTAAGCTGTGTGTATCCTCTAACCGATCTGACCTACAGAAGCAGCCAAGGCCCGATAGAGCGCAGCAGCCATGTCCTCTGCCACACCTGGAAATCAAGCGCTTATTGGAACTTTGTTGAATACTGTGGACATACATAACACGCAGAGAAGCACTTTAGCTACGATTTTCTCTCTTGCTCTGGACTCCCTCAGCTTCAGCAGTGACCCTGCAGGAGCTCTGAGCAATGTGAACAGACTTTAATGTCCCTTTATTACCCCAAACAGGCCTTGGAAGACCGTGGCATCATAGAGTTGCTCCTGACCTCAGACAACAAAGATGGCCTGCAAAAGGGAGTGGTCGATGGAGGTACCTGAAGGAGGCTACTGCTTGGCTCTTCTGCAAAATTCTCTGGGCGTGGTCTGAGATACATGCAGGTGTTTCTCCGGTTCATAGCGTAGGGAGTGGCATTCTGGGCTGCAGGGGAAATAGGGTCCATAGCACCTTCCATGGCCCTTTTCTCTTCTTTTCAGCAAATGCCTTACCAAAGATCATCCAAACACCCAAGTACCTGGCCAGCTGTGCCTGGTCATTGTACTTGCTAAGCTTACATGGTTGCAGGGGGCTGCCCCCACTGGCAGCTTTTTTTTTTTATTGGAAAATTTCAGCCCCATTTCCCCTCAAGTACACCAAACCTGGCGGTTAGTCTTATTCCTCTCCTGCCCGACACACCAGCCATTGGCACATCCTTTTTTTTTTTTTTTTTTTTTTTTTTTTTTTTTTTTTATCTTTGTAGCAACCATTAGCTTTATTTTATTTTATTAATTACACTTTATTCATTTTGTATTCCCCATAAGCCCCTCCCTCCTCCCCTCCCGATCCCATCCTCCCTCCCCTTTCTGCATGCATGCCCCTCCCCAAGTCCACTGATAGGGGAGGTCTTCCTCTCCTTTCTGATCTTAGTCTATCAGTGCACATCAAAAGTGGCTGCATTGTCCTCTACTGTGGCCTGGTAAGGCTGCTCCCCCCTCAGGGGGAGGTGATCAAAGAGCAGGCCAATCAGATTATGTCAGAGGCAGTCCCTCTTCCCATTCCTATGTAACCCACTTGGACACTGAACTGCCATGGGCTACATCTTGGCACATCCTTTTATCTTTCCTTTTCTCCTTAAAACATATCTGAACTCAAATGTGGTTCACCATCTCAGCAGTTGCCACCCTTCCTTCCCACCTGCAATGCTGTAGCATGATTTTCACCAGCTCCTCTCACTTCACCAATCCCTCCAGCGACCTTTTCTCAATACAGCAATTGGCGTCCTGGACGCAGGCCTGCGACACACACCTGTCATCCCAGCACCATGGAAACTGAGACAGGAGGGTCATGAGTTTGAGGCCAGCCTGGAATACGTAGTTCCAGGCCAGCCAAGATGACATAGCAAGACCCTGTCTTCAACAAACAGCTCAGCAAACAACCCAGATCATATTGCTCTACTGCTTGGACTCCATGTGCTCCACGGAGAAAAGAGAAGCACACACTCTGAGAATGGTCACGTGGGCTCCTCACATAGCAACACCGGAATCTCCCTAGTCTCCTCTCCTAGAGCCTCCTCCACTCCTCACAGAGCAACCCCTGCATGCCCCTCCCCAGTCCTCCCTCCCTAAGCCCCCCTCCAATACCTGCTCCCATAACCCCACACATAGCCCCGAATATGCCCTGGCAGCAGGTCTCACAGTCTCCACACACACGACTGGCTGAGCTCACCTGTAGGTGTTTCCTCTTTTCTGCTGTACTTTACCTTCCTGGCTCTCGTTTTGTTTCTCAAGTACACGGAACACCCTCAGATTCGGTGACTCCGCACACCTTTGGGGAGTCTGCTAGGCTTGCCTTCCAGGTGCTCTTTGCAGCAAGGCTTTCTCTGAGCACCCTGCTAGACCGTGCAGCCCTTCACAAGGCTCAGCCCACTCTCCTGGCTCCATCTCGCCGTTTAGCCTTTGGAATAGCTGGCTTAACTTGGTCCTCAATCTCACATTGGCAGTGAGCTCTGCAGGCCTTGGGCTGTCTCATATGACCTGTGGTGCTTGAACACATGCTCATTCACAGACTATGCAGAGGGAAGCTGAAGAGCCCTCCTGTCAGTTACAGTGTGTCTCTTTCTGACATGGCACCTCCTTGCGTCTATTTTGTTTAATTTGTATTTCGCTCTCTACACTGACCTGTTTGTAGATGGGGACTTTTATCTTGATATTCCTTCCACAGTAACTGGCTTGGTTGCTTCTGGGAAATTAGGTAGATAGAGAGGAAAAGGCTCTATCTATAGCAAGCTCACGGAACATGACAGAGATCAGTAGTGATTCCTGTGAATTCCACGAGGTGGCAGCATCTACTCAAGTTTGCTAGCAGAGCCCTGGTGGAGGGGCTGTGGAGCACAAGACAGTCTCTGAAGGCCTTAGAAGACTATTAATTTCTACCCATCCTCCCCTTCAGGCTCCAACCATGGGCCCCCGAGGCCACTGCTGCCTGGAATGATGATTTTTAATTTAAAAAGTCAAAGCATTCATTCATGTGGCCTATCAGTAAAATAATTAAAAAAATACTTATCAAGAAATGTGTCTTCCTCCTGATCCAATTCCCCCAAAACAGCTACCTCAAACTGTAACCTTTTATTCCAGCTTTCACCTTCTTGTATCTGTACAACTTGTATGCACAACTGTATATATCGCTTTAGGATTCTGAAGCCATCCTCCTGTTTCAGTGGATGGCTGGGCTTTCCCTTGTCTCACATACCTCTCCTTTCCTGCCAGTGCAGTTCAGTGCTGCTGTGCATTGTGGCTGCAGATCTACTGGGTGGGGTGTGCTGCTTTGCAGCATGTGACCAGGTGGCCAGTCAGAGTGCTTAATTCTCACCCTCAGTGGACTCACTATCCTGTTAGCTTTCTTGTCATCTCAGAGCTCTCTCTCCTCCCCATCCCCGCCTTCTCTTTTCTTGCTTTGTAGTTCAGGCTGTCCTCAAACTCCTGACCCTTCTCCTGTAGCCTCCTGAGTGATGAGATGATGGGACTGCAAGCATGCACCACACATGGAGCCAATCCTCACTTTGGTCCCAGTCTTGGCCTTTCTCCTTTCTCTTAGCAGATGTCTTAATGGAGATCTCACAAGCTCCCATCCAAATGCTTCTTTTTTTTTTTTTTTTTAATTACAGTTTATTCACTTTGTATCCCAGCTGTAGCCTCCTCCTCCATTCCTCCCAAACTTTCCCTCCCTCCCTCCCTCTTCTTCTCCTATGCCCCTCCCCCAGTCTAATGATAGGGGAGGTCCTCCTCCCCTTCCATCTGACCCTAGTCTATCAGGTCTCATCATGACTGGCTTCTTTGTCTTCCTCTATGGACTGGTAAGGCTGCTCCCCCCTCAGGTGGAGGTGGTCAAAGAGCAGGCCACTGAGTTCAGGTCAGAGACAGTCCCTTTTCCTATTATTGGGGAACCCTCTAGGACACTGAGCTGTCATGGGCTACATCTGTGCAGGGATTCTAGGTTATCTCCATGCATGGTCCTTGTTTGGAGTATCAGTCTCAGAAAAGATCCCTGTGCCTAGATTTTTTGGATCTATTGCTCTCTTTGTGGAGCTCCTGTTCCCTCCAGGTCTTTCTATCTTCCCCTTCTTTCATAAGATTCCCTGCACTCTGCCCAAAGTTTGGCTATGAATCTCAGCATTTGTTTTCATACCCTGCTGGGTAGAGTCTTTCAGAGACCATTTGTGATAGGCTCCTGTCCTGTTCCCTGTTTTCTCCCTTTTCTGATGTCCATCTCGTTTGCCTTTCTGAATGAAGATTGAGCATCTTATCCAGGGTCCTCCTTCTTGATTAGCTTCCTTAGGTGTACAGATTTTAGTATGATTATCCTATATTATCTGTCTAATTTTTAAATTTTATTTACTTTTTATTTTTTTTTATTTTAATTTTTACATATTTGCTGGGTGTTTTGCCTGTATATATATCTGTATGAGAGTGTCAGGTCTCCTGGAACTGGAGTTTCAGACAGTTGTGAGCTGCCGTGTGGGTGCTGGGAATTGAACCTGGGGCCTCTGGAAGAACAGCCAGTGCCCTTAACCCCTGAGCCATCTCCCAGCCCTGCTTCCTTTGTTTTTAAACATTTTATTCCTTTTTAATAGCTCTGCTTTTCATGACTTCTGGTACTATTCTTCCCAGTCTTTGAGGGGAGATGAATCTCTGAAGATGGGTAGAGGAGGTGGATGGGAGCCCTTCTCTGTGGGAGTAACGGGGCCATGGGGACTGTTCATTTCAGGAAACTCACATGGCAGTGTCTAGAGATACCATTTCCAAACACCTAGAGAAGCTGCCTCTGGCTTCTTCCACAGATATTTGAGGAACAGTTGTGAGGAACACACAGGAGGCCCCTTGCTCAGGAATCCCCTTCAGTCTTCCCTCCTACTTCTTACCCCCATGCTCCCAGGAAGCTTTTTAAGAGCATGTGAACCCTATTGCAGGCATGGGCTGTGGTGCAAAGGAAGCTCAACAACAGGGGTGGGAGAATGCCTGTGGATGGAGGTGGTCCTCCTGACACTCACAGTGGAGGAAGGACTTACGTGATGCGGTAGAAAGAAAGCAATCTATCCTAGGCCCCCTCGGTCTCTCTATGGTTTTCATGTTTCCAGGTTTCCCTCGGCACCTTGCCTTTGCTCACAGCCCTTCTGCATTCTTACTCATCCCTTTTCTTGAATTTGATGAAGTGTTAGGATGATGCAAGGTAGCTGCGGGTGTTCAGCTAGCCCCATGCATTGGGTTGACTTTGCTAGTTAATGGTTACTTTCAAACAGGCTTTCTGAAAGGAGTGGCTAACTCCTGAAAGGGGGGGGTTCTAGTTGCAGGGTCTTCACCTGTGGGTTGCTGGAGGACAGTGACATCACAGGATAATGGCTTGGTGCGAAGGGTCCTGAGTTTGCAGCCTTACTCTGCTGCTTACAGATTGTGGAGCATGAGGGAAGTTTCTGTACCTTCTAAGCCTCAGCTTTGTTTTCTTCACCGGTTACTGTGGCCAGATATCCTGTATGGTAGCTGGGGCTGGCCACCCTATCTTAGTTACCCCTAAGCTCATTCATCTTAACTGACCATTCTCATGGACAGTAAGCAGGCAAGGGTCTTTGGCATCAAGTTCTGCAGCTGGCTGTGACAGGGTCATGGCCACCAGCCAGCAGTATCATTTTTTCTTGAGCATGCATTTTTCTTAAGGAAAGTTGTATTAAGCACAATTTAAAAATTTAAAGTAAACATATTATGAAATAGAGTAGAGAGTGAGTCCTTATCTAGAAATGAAGCATGCGTCTTCATTGAGATCATTGCCCTTGGTGTACAAAGGCATTTATCATTGCACTTGAGGTACAGTGTACAGCTCACTGCTGAAAACATTACAGTAAAAACCAGATGCAGAGTTTCTGGTTCTGCTGTGTATTGAACGGTGGAATTTCTAAGAATACAATAGAGGCAACTCTTTGGCATCACAGAAGCTCACTTCTAAGGGAGGTGGGAGACAGTGTCTATACTAACTTTTTTTTATGCTGGTAGATTGAAGATTTGGGTAATTGCGACTTCAAGACTGTGCTTTGTTTCCTTGTCTGCTCCCTTCCCAGTGCTGGCCACCATCAACTTACAGTCACAACAGGAGCTGAAGGAACTCAGCAGCATTCTCTTATCTATGCAGGTAGGTCTGGCCCAAGGGATGCTATGGATTCCATGTGCCTGCACTGCACCCAGAGTTCTGTGATGGGGGAGAAGGACTCTCAGCTCTCCCAGCCTCTTGGCTCATGCCACATTGCCACATGGCTGGGAGGGAAGCCACTTAGAAACTCTGCTCTAAAGTTCTACTCTGTAGACAGACACCATTCAAGTATGCTGTGCTCTCTTGAGAAGGGTAGCTTTTGAAGCTTTAGGCTTTTCTGGACTCCACAAGCCCCAGAGCTGCTTTGGGAGACTGAGAGAGAAAAGAAACCTCTCCATTCTGGACTATCCTTCCTTAACCTTTAAGACTTCATTGGCACTGGAAATGTTTCTGTTATCCACAAGACAAGAGGCCTGGTTGATTGCAGATCTGGAAAAGAAAAAAGGTTTCTGGGTATATTTCAGCTTCCTTAGACTGATGGTCACACACAGCCCTATTCCAGTTGATGTCTCTAGTTTGTGTGTCTCTTCTAAACAGACAGATGTGATTGGGGCCAAGCTATATAACCCATGTGTAGAATAGATAGGTCATCTCATCTTGGCTTACTGAAAGGTGTGAATGTTCCCAGGTTGCCCCCACCAAAGGTGTGACTGTTCCCAGGTTGCCCCCACCAATTGCTTATCTACTATGGTCCTCAACCTAGAGGGAAAACTGATAGTGTTTTGATGATGAACAGATGCCCTTGGGGATACTGGGCCAAAGGTGTGGGGCATACCTGTGGTCCACTGAGTAGATTGTTCCAGTTGTTGGCCTTTCAAAGTAGGGGTGATACCCTCAGATACACTCATGAAGCTATCATGACAGGTAGCATGTAAGGTGAGTACGCATGTATGGTGTGGCTATTCCTGCAGTATAGATAGTGGTCAGAATGGGTGGGAAGGCTCCTAGGTGGAGGACAGGCATGATCTCTGGTAGACTTCTCAGAGGGAAGGAATTATGCATGCATGTGTGTGGGTTCAGGTGGGACCCTTTCTTCTCATCTTTCTTCTAGTATGTCTTAGGTTTTTTTCTGTCTGTGGAGGTGCCCGGCCTGTCTTACCTCATGACTTACCATAGTGCTCCTGTCCTTGTGGAGTCTGTAATCCATTTGGGAAGGGAGACTCATGATATATAGTCTCAAAGTGCCTAAGCAGAGTTGCAGTCGAGTGCTTCCAAGGGAGCTGCTCAGGACCCACTTGGTTACTCTGTTGTGGGACCTTGGAGACATGTTTGGCTCTTCTGTGTTTTTGTTTTTCCTTTAGTTGAGTAGGCATAATGACAGCCTAGACTTGAGTAAAGTAATGTTTGAAAAGCACCTCACAGTACTGGTGATGGAAGGGGTGTCTACTGTTGATTCCAAGACAACTTGGCATGCCAGTGCTATTGGGCTGGCTGTCCTATCAGCAGAATGGCACTGCTGACATGCTTTCATGTATAGTTTATGACATCTGTCCTAATGTAAGCAAGTAGTTTTGTCTAAAGGGCTTCATTGAATGGACACTATAGACTCCAGCACTGCTTAACTTTGAGTATCCATTAGTCCTTAAATATGTTCTCACTGAGGAAGATAACTCATGTTAGAGATTTTTGAGTAATTCCTGTATACCAGAATTTTTTCTGTATCATTTCATCTAGTTATCCTAGTGAGCATGTGTGCTAGCTATTGTTCCTGCTATCTGTGATCAAGGAGATAGACAAACAATGGAGGAGGTACCCAGAAGATGGTCAATTTGGGATTGGTTGTACCACATTCTCCAGGAAGACAACTTAGTCCTTGCTGGACATTTTTCTGCTCCCCACACCACAGAAGCCCTTAGGCACATAAGCCCATGTTGGCCCTGGAGGTTTCAGGATTTAGTATTTTGACTCTGCTTCTCCCTTTTGGGTGACTAAATGTGGGTATATTATGGCAAATTTTGGGATGTAGATAGTTGATAAAAAAAAAAAAACAAAGCTACCTGCTTGCTAAAACAAAACAACCCCCCCCCCCAACAAAAACCTTATGGCTATGTTGGCTTTTACCTAGGGACAATTGGTACCTCCTATGCTATGAACCATTAAGTGTGCCCCATCTTTCTGGAACATGTTCTGTTGACTTTTATGCAGTTTTAAATGTCAGGCCAGCCCTGATAGAGGATACTTAATCAATACTTAATCAGCTGTCACTGAATGAATGAGAATGCTTCCTGGCTCAGAGCCTAAAATCTTAGCGATAAGTCTTTCACACATGCCCAGGTGTTTACAGCTTTTGAAAACATGGTGGAGCCAAGCATAGTCCCAGAATGATCTCTGTGTGCTTGGAGAGAGCAGATGTCACCTCGGTATTCTGAGGTAACAATTAAGACTTGTTCAATATCCTAGGCAAGGTGTGAATCCAGAGTGCAGCTGTAGACCTTGCACCTTAGGTAGCTGCATTGCCATGGCCTGACTCTCTGGTTTAGTTTTGTAAACTGTTGCTTAAGTCAGAACTTAAGGAAAACCCACTCTGAAGCCTGCTGACTCCGATATACAGAGAAGCAGTAACTGGCATGTCTGCACCTATGCTGTGGCTCTTAGATGCATTTGTCCAGAACAAGCCATTCTTCTTCCCTGGTTGGCAAAGGTTGCCTTGAACCACTATGTAACCCAACCAGTGTAGAAAAGGGTATCCACGTCAGGTGATGAATTCTGATGAAAGCTTAGTTTGAACAGACACTTGTGTCTCCTTGCTAGCGTCTGTCATATGCACCAGCAAAAGCACATACGGCATCAACTCTGGTAGCCTCTTCCATATTAGATTGGCAGGTGGTGAGGCCACAAGTGGTGGGTGAATGATCTGTATCTATGCTGTTACTGGAGTTCCTTTCAAGATGGTGTCCATCTTTCCCATTTGATCAGCTTGCCTGCCTAATTCTTATTTTTGTGGTCCCAGGGGGTTCAACCGAAAATGGTGATGGAGTACTGGACAGGGTGGTTTGACTCATGGGGTGGCTCCCATAATATCTTGGATTCCTCTGGTAAGTACTTTACTTTGCCTACATCTAATATGTATGTTGACCCTAAGTAAGGATATGTTTTGCATTCCCTGGCATTGTGTATGGGGTTGTAGGATGCTAGGTTCCTAGGATCATTTGAATTCATATTCAGCTCTTAGTATTTCAGAGACTTGACACTTGAAATAACAACAGGGCTTTCATCATTGCTTTTCTATGTTTTGTAATTAGAAAGGTAACACATGCTTATTGTAAACATCTAGGAAATGTAGAGAGTTTAAAGGAGAAATAGAAGTCTCTGAGTCTAGATCAAGCATTCTGATGTATTTAACAGTGCAGGCAGCTCTTAGTGTATCTCCATCTATGTAATACAGATAGAGCTAGACACAGATTGATCAAGTCTTCAGACACCCTCCCCACACACATACACCCCGCCCCCACACCATCCTACACTAGTGAACATAGGAATGCTTGATGTAATTAGACATCACTGTCTTAAAGGATTTGAAGAGCCCCATTGTATTGATGACTAAGCCTCCGTTTAGTGATCTGGTTTCTAACTTATTGCTTAGTTTTGTCTTTTGTTAACTGAACACCACTTAAGCGAGAATCTTTGAAGTTTTGTACACATGGCACATATTTTCTTATGATAGAGAATAAATTGCTGCACTTATGCAGTTTTAGTTTATGTGTTTATCACTGTCTTTTAGGAAGACAGTCGCAGCCTACTGGCCATTGTGAAGTGAGAAAACTCATTTCCTTCAGTCATCAGCACTGAATAATATTTTTTTAAATTTGCCAGTTTTCTAAGTCAGTATTAGGTTTACATTTCTTGGATATATTACACAAATATATTAATTGATCTTTTATTTTGTTAACTAATACTCTTCTTGAATATTGTTAGGGACATAGCCAAGACTATTGTGTAATGCGGTCCCAACTTTTTTGCATTTCCTAGGGACAGAATAGCTACAAGGAAACATGCCATCTGGTAGGATGGAAACAGCCTATGGGCTGCAGGTTGTCCAGGGAAAGCTGAATGACCCAGTGATGGAGTGACCTGATGGGGTTTGGGATGTAAGGGAACAAGAGGCCTCATTGAGGCTTTGCTTGTGTTCTGACTCACTTTAAAGATATTTCCTCTTTCTTTTCCTTGAAGAGGTCTTGAAATCAGTGTCTGACATCATCAAATCTGGCTCCTCGATCAACTTGTACATGTTCCATGGAGGCACCAATTTTGGCTTCATAAATGGAGCCATGCATTTTAATGACTACAAGGCTGATGTCACCAGCTATGGCAAGTGTCCTCAGCATTTCTTCCTGTTGCTCTCCAGTGCTTGTAGGGCTGGTGCTTTTGATGGAGAATCCTTCAGAGACAATTTCTGGGTCCTTTCATGTCTTTGGCTACGTAATGTCCAGGGAAGTAGAGGCTTTGTCTGACTGTCTAAGCTTCCACAGCAAGACTGTGACTGGCTTGCTCTGCTGAGACAGCTGCTTGCAGGACCAAGGGAAGGGAGGCAAATCTAGAGTGAGAGGGATGGGGATAGCCTTTCCCCCTCTGAGACCCTTGAGAAGGTGTGATCATGGCCCTTCCTCTGACTTAGAGTTCACAAGGAGTAGGAGAGATGCCCCATTGTATCTACTTGCAGTTAAATTTTTAGTATCTTGCCGTGCTCAGGGGTATTTTTATAGTATTTTGTACCTACCATAATTTAACTGAATGGTTCATATTAAAGGTGTTTCTTTTCAAAATTGCTGATCTAAGTAGTCTGCTCCCCCATCCCAGTTTCTCCTCCTCCTTCTTTGTTTTCTTCATTGCTCTGTGCTGTTCTGGGGTCAGGAGAGACTGAAGGGTCCATGGGTGTTTTGCAGATTATGACGCTGTATTGACAGAGGCTGGAGATTACACTGCCAAATACACCAAGCTTCGAGAGCTCTTTGGAACCTTCTCAGGTACAAATAAGCAGTAGATTTAAACATACACTCGGGCCCATGTTTTTGCTCTGAGCCCTCAGAGTTTCTGCTGTCTTTCCTCTCCAAACTCCAGCTGATCCAAATTCAAAAATTTCTTAGACTTCTAGGAAATATATCTCAGCATGCATAAGGCCCCATGTTCTACCATGACCATTACCCAAAATAAATAAGTAAAAATACAAATAAATTATAAAGCCAACATTCTAGACAAAAAGGTTTGAGAGACTATTTTCATCATACGGTGCCTCTTGTATTTGACTCATTCTAAGCCTCTTTATGCCATATAGAAGACACAAAGAAACCCTGTTCTTGCCCAGGCCTCATGTCCTAGAGTAGTTTAAGTGCTGAGGAGATCCTGTGGTTGATATTGGTGCCAAGATGAAAGGAGCGCATTGGATTGTGGGAACGAGGCTGAGGAGGCAGTGGTGATTGGATCGTTAAGGGAGGGCCATGGTTCTTGTTGCAGGTGTCCCTCCACCACCTCCACCTGAACTTACTGCTAAGATGGTCTATGAGCCAATGAGTCCATCTTTCTACATATCACTGTGGGATGCTCTCCTGTATCTGGATGAGGTAACTGCTATAGGCAGGGCATCGGGGATTGTTCCTAAGCAGACAGAAGCCAGGGACTTTCCAAATGGGGTTCTGGGATGAGCAAAGCCACTCAGTCGCATTGCGGACTCTACCCAACCAGAGAACTGAGTAAAGAGACATACAATGGTGCTGGAGTGGGATTGGGAGGGAATAGGAGAGCTTGAGCTTGGTGTCTCCCCTCTAGCCTCAGGGGTAGGACTTTCTCTGGGTCACGAATAGGGTGAGGAGCAGAGGAAGGGATGATCTTTACCCTGTGGAGAGGAAAGAGGAAACCCGTTGCAGTTCATTCTGTGGTGATGCCACCTTCAGGACTCCATGGCATGATGGTGGCTTAAGGATTCCAGAAGATTGTAGGACTCTAATGAAATCTCTCTTTTCCTGTCATCCTTATTTCTGTAACTCCAAGGAACCATTAGTTTAAGCTAGAAAGAAGATAGAATAGAAAAAAAAAACATGCTAGAGCACCCTTTCATCCTGTCCATGATGTCCTTGTTGCCCATGTGAAAACTTACAGTTAGGAGCTGCCTGACTACTGTGCTTTCTTGTGTCTTCTTATGTAGCCATTCAAATCTGAGATACCTATCAACATGGAGAACCTGCCAGTAAACAATGGTAATGGACAGGCCTTTGGGTATGTTCTGTATGAGACCACCATCTTCTCATCTGGTGTCCTCAGTGGCCTTGTGCGTGACAGAGGACAGGTAGGAGCATCCCTCTGAACTCCGGGGCTTTGTAGAGACCAAACATGGCAGTACATGCCTTATTTTCTGCCTTCAAATCGTTGTTACCAGTATAAAATTGGCTATCTCCAATAACTGGAGTTCTCATGAGCTCTCCCTCATAACTGTGGTGTTCACTTTTCCTCCATGCCTGCCAAGCACCTTCATAAGTACCCACAGTGATATCTGTTCTGTTGTCTAGCAGATGCTCTTCTTACCTTCCTCCTGATGACCATGATTTTCATCTGCTCACTTTGCCAGGTCTTTTTGAATAGAGTATCCATAGGATTCTTGGACTATAAAACAACGAAGATTACTATCCCCTTGACCCAGGTTTGTTATCCCAGGGATTTGGGGTGATAGCTAGGAAACTTGGTAGAGTCAAAGGGGAGGATCAGGAAGCCAGGAAGTTCCTTAGTTAAAAACTGCGAAGAGAAGGGCATACCTAACTTTCTGACCATTCGGATGCTCCCACTCCCTTTCTCAGAGCATAGGGATGACTGGGGAACACAGAGATTCCCGGGTGTAGCTGAGTTATCAGATGGTGATAACTGGCCACTCTGTTCATGGCAGGGTTACACCATACTGAGGATCTTAGTGGAGAATCGTGGACGAGTCAACTATGGAAATAATATTGACAGTCAGCGCAAAGGTGGGTCTTGGTATAGATGAAGAGAAAAGATGTTACCACTCCCCAGACTTATCTGTCTGCTAAGCATAAAGTATATCAACAGGCCATTGGGGCCCCTTTCAGGGAGGTGGTTCATGGAGGCTCATTAAAGGGAGATAGTGCCTAGTTTACCTGCATTTAAATCCTGGTTAATGGGTCAGGAGGGTTTGCTCATTTTCCCTTTAGTGCTTTCTAACTGTATGATCCTTCTGCCCCAGGAGGAACCTCCACGAACTGGCTTCTTAGTATGTCTTTATATTGAAACCTACTTTGGTGGGAGAGGGCCTCTCTGCTTGCAGGGTTGTGGGTAAGGAGCAAAGAATAATAATATAGTCCATGGAATAATATAGGACCCCTGCCTTTTTGGGTCTTCATCCTGAATTTCTGTTCATCTCTCTCAGGAAGACTCATAGGGAATGCTTCTGTGCTCAGGAGGAAGCCAGACATGCAATGAGCAGGCTGCATTTTGTTGTCATGCCCTTCTAGGAGTATCCCTTCACTACACTTGCCCGTGCCCCTGGCTTTTGGAATCATCATGGTTTTAGTCCCCTTCCTTCCCCTATTTGTATGTGGTTGGTTTTCAGGGCAGTATAAGAAGGGTCTTCCTGTGGTGAGGAGGTTGATGACATTCCATTTCTCTCTCTTCTGTTTGCATTTGTGGTAGAGGAAACTTTTACCTCTTACCTGGTCAGGATGTCTGCTGGAAACCTCTGGTAAATACTCCGAAAGTGATGTGGTCTTAGCAACTGGGGCTTCCTCTCCAGAAGGCCCTCAAAGTAGTTACCATAGCACTGTCTAGCACCATCCTTGCCATGCCACATATCAGAGTGGCATACTAGACCAGTATTTCTCCACAGGCCTTACAGCCTCCCTTAGGCGTCCTTCTCTGGAGCCATCTTACCTCTTTCATTATTCTGGAGTAAGAAAGACCTGTCAGACTGTCCAGTATTTATTTTCCTGGGATCTTAACCAAGCGTGCCTTGACCATCTGCAGAATCCCGCTCTCTGGGCAGGTTCAGTGTTTGCAGTTCACAGACCTTCTCCCAGAAACACACGTGCTCATATGCTTGTTCCTGCCACAGAAGCTGCGCCGGGCCCAGCTGTCTCCACCCTGGGCAGCTGCCCTCCAGGTGGGCAGCTGCTCACTGTGGGACACTCTGTGATGTTGCTGTCTGCTCATCGTTTAGATTTCTTCAAAGCGATCTTTAATCTTAGGTTGAATGGAGGGCTTCTGGCTGAGCGAGCAGGTCTCTTAGTCTGAGAACCTTACAATACCACAAAGCTAGGCTCTCTGTCACCACTTAGCTAAATATAGCTTTCCCTAGAAAGAGCCAGAAGTCATATGTTTCATGCTGTGACATCTCAGCTCCATCCTGTCACTGTCCTTGGGTGTGCTGTTCTTTATGACAAATCCTGGGACTTGACAGTGATCTTGTCTATGGCCATGATTTTGATATCTCCAAGGAGGCTTTAGTCCAAGTGCAGAGCAATTAGGCAGCATATGCTTTAGGAAAAACCCTTGCTTCATCTTTCCTGGAACATCCACACATGCCCTGCCTGCAGCTCTGTCGCCAGTCTCCTGATCTGGGGCCTGCCTACCTTTGTTTGCCCACTTTTTCCAGGTTTAATCGGAAATCTCTATCTGAATAATAACCCTCTGAAAGACTTCAGAATCTACAGCCTCGATATGACAAAGCAGTTCTTTCAGAGGTGGGTCCCTGTGAGTCTGGTAAATGAGGTCATAGCTAACATGTAGAAAGAGCCAAGAGTATCCTGGCCTCCATGCCAGGATCACACAGACCCAGAGGCCAAAGCTACCTGCCTAAGGTGAGGGGTAGGATCAACACTGGAACCCATGTTTCTAGACTGGGAAATGCCTATCCTGATATCTTATTGCCATCTTATAACCTGTTTGGGGGTGGATGGGCTTGGGGCCTCATTGGAGGAAGGGATGTGCTTAGGAATTAGATGCAGGTCTGGAAGCAGATGTGAGATGGACCTTTCCTCCTTGTGCTTACATGCTGTCTTTAGGTTCGACATGAACAAGTGGAGTATCGTTCCCAAAGAACCTACCTTTCCTGCCTTCTTCTTGGGTGCCTTGTCAGTTGGCGTTTACCCTTCTGACACATTTCTGAAGTTAGAGGTTTGTAGGACCCCTTTCCTTTCCTGCTCTCTCCTTTTCATAGGGCTCTGAGCCAAGTTGGCTTGAATGTTTTCTGTAACACCTGGACCCAGAGGCCTCCCTGTCTTTCTGTATTGCCCCATGTGATAGGGAGCCTGTGACTTCTCTGTGTCAGAGGAGTGGGCTCAAAGCTGAACCACCTTGTGGTACTTCTCAGTGTATGGGTTCCTATGGGCAGTCTGAGGTTGATTACCCTGACTGGGAACCTCAGCAGTGGGGTGGGTTACCTACATGGATGTCTAATGTTGGTCCACTTTGGTCTCTCAGGAACATGGTATTTTGGGGCTCCCGTGGTAATGCAAGACCTTCCCTGTTTTGTTTGTAGGGCTGGGTGAAGGGGGTTGTATTGGTCAATGATCAAAACCTTGGACGCTACTGGAACATAGGACCTCAGGAGACTCTCTACCTCCCAGGTGTCTGGCTGAACAAAGGACTCAACAAGGTGGGAATTCTTCTAGACTCCTTCCTTTCCCATGTAACTCTCTTCCCATTCCTGCTCTCCATGTTATCAAGTTGCTTCTCTGGCCCTGAAATGCTCAGCCAGGGAGTGGAGAGGGTGAGTATTTCAGCCATCCCATTCTTCCCTTTTCCTTGGTGAGTGATGACTCTGCATTCACTCCCTACCACCTCCTTCCATTCTCATTCCCATTCCTTCCTTTCAATCCTGCCACCTCATAGCTCTCTCACCTCTACAGCCCAGCCCTTGTTTCCCACAGGTCATCATTTTTGAGGAGACAATGGCAGGTGCCATCGTACAGTCTACTGATGTCCCCCACCTGGGCAGGAACCAGTATGTTAACTGAACAGCAGTCCCAGCAGCTCCTGCTGTGGTTGGCAGCTTCCTCCCTTCCTCTCTACAGGAGAAGTCTTCAGAACTAGCAACCTCAGGGAGCAAAGGGCTATAGTCAACTCAGTCCAAAATCCTAAGCCTGAGGGAACTGGAGATGGGGTAACACTGTCTGGGCAGACTCATAACGAGATGGAGTCTCTCCTGGTTTTATAAATGGGGCCCATTCTGCCCTAATCTTTTAGGGGAGGCCATAGAGCTGTCTCTGAGCGTAGAGTATGTAGTTATATCCTTCAAAGAAGGTGCTGAAGCTGTGTGGGTACTTCCTTCCTCTGGAAGTGAAAGCCTCCTTGGCTAGCCTGCTGGATAGACGCAGGCCTTTCAAACATTCCCAGTGGGGTCTGGCCACATCCTAGACAGCCACTTTGTGCTCCTGAACTTGTGGGTTTGTCATTGTTTGTAGAGCAAAGAGAAAGAAGGTCTTACTTGAGTCAACTTTATTTTATTTTTCAACTTTCCTCTTGACAGTTCTTGGGATCTGGAAGAATCATGTCTTTTCCTTTTCACCCTGTCTTGTAATCAGTTGATAAACTGAGCCTGTGAGAAAACAGGCATGTTCAATACTATCTTTCTAAGTTAAGAGAACATTTGCTGTTGTCCTCAGTGAGGAGGAATGTCACTGAAGAAGGAACAGCCTCACTAGGGGAGGAGCTGGTACTTTAGCAGAAACCACCTCACATCCATGCTCTGGGGAAGTGAATGGCAGAAGCCCAGCAAAGTGGCACTGCATGGCTGCCCTCAACACAGTAGAATCTGGGGATAGCTATGGGTCCACAGGTCTATCACTAGCTTTGCTTCCACCTCAGCTGATTCTTTAAATACTCTGCTTCTCATTTCTCACTAACAACAGGAAAGGCAGCTTTCTGTCTCAGTTCAGATTAAAGGCTCTTGTTCTTCGGAACAAGTGCAATGGCTTGTCTTGGCTTTGCCATTCTAAATTTCAATAAAGCAATAAATTTGACTCAAATCTTTGTGGGTGTCTCAGCGTCTTTGTGTTGGTACCACCTGGCACATGCCCCTGGTTTCTTACCACCTTTCAATTTTCTTGAAATGTCATTGCATTAATAGAGCAGTCTGATCTCATGCTGGTGGTTAAGAGTAAGAACCTTCTAGAAAGCCAAACCACAATATGTAAGTTAGCTATCGGAGATGGTATAAATTATACCTAACAGTACTTCTCTAAGCTGGTTATCTTCAGAAATAGTGAAGATCAAATAAAGTATATCTATGAACATAGTGCCCGCACAGAAGCCCAATGAAGATGGGTTAGGGAAGAGTAGGTGAACTGAGAGGTTTACACACCAACAGGTTGGCTCCCTGAGAACATGGCTTCTGCTGGAGTCAGGGCTGCTGTTGGTGTGGAGCTGCTGAGCTAGGTAAGCGAGTAAGCCCAGGTAACTTACTTGCAGTGGTTATGGGGGCACAACCCAAGTCCCACAGAGTTCAAGAAACAGGTTCTCTCTCTCTCTCTCTCACACACACACACACTCACTCTCTCTCCCTCTCTCTCTCTCCCTCTCTCTAGGATGGGATCGTGTTATGTAGCCTAGACAGGCCTTGAACTTTTAGTTCTGCCTTAGCTTCCAAGTTTTGAGATTACAAAAACTGTTGTACCATCATGCTCAACTCCAAGGAAGGCTTTTTTAAGATTTAAAGCCCTTTATTTGTCTTAAAGTTTTAAGATAAAATTACATGGTAAGTATTTGTGTATCATGTCTGGGAAGTTAGATGTATGTGTGCCATGAAGTGTGACTATTCAAGGGGCAACCTGTGGGAGCTGGGTCTCTGCTGTCAGGTCCTGGGGAACAAACTCAGGTTGTCAGGGCTGATGGCAAGTACCTTTACCCACTGAACTATCCCACTTGACCTCAAAGGAAGCGTGCAAAGTGCAGGTTGTAGACGATGCCTGAAAAACAAGACAGACAAAGCCCCTGGTTTTACCCACTCCTGCCAGTTCTTTCTGAAATGTCTTGGGATAGCAAGCATGCAGCTAAGGTACAGTTGAGTCCAGAGCTACTTGAAGAGAGCCAGAGAGCCAGAGAGCGGTGTCATATTGTCACTTTGTCTTGCATTACATAAGAGCAGGTTTCTGCAAAGCTGTATTAAGCAGGGCTGTGCTGGGAAGTGTGACAGGCAATCGGAATATAAAGGAATTTGACATAGCATCCTTCTTGTAAGGGAGTGAAGAAGTCTTGGAGTTAGTGTTATGAATACAAGATTGGGTATGTATTGAGATAAGGTCTTTTTGTAGCAACAATTTTTCCCTGCTTCCCTAGCATGACTCAGCCGGCCTTGGCTCTCCAGAACTGACTAGTTCTTCCAGATCCATGTACCATGTAGCCTGATCTCCGCCCCTCCAGACCCACCTCAGTCCTTTCTGGGCCCCTTTTATTTACCATCATTAAATGCTCGGAGAGTCTGCACTCTGTGTGGGGTCACACCTGTGGGACCCTGACACCAACACTCTCTAGGGTCTGTTCTCAGGTACACGGAGAGCTGACCCTCACTGTCTGTTGCCTGTGCATGGCAAGGTCCGAAGCAGAACTGTAGCTTTCCCTCATTGACCTCTCCTGGTTTTGTGTCTCAGATTATTTTGGCCTCTGTCCCTTTATTCCACACCCAACCCCTTAAGCGTGCTTGGAATGCAGCCACTTCTCTCTGCTCCACAACTTGTGCTCTCACCCCACCCACCATCATCTTGTACCTGGTTTATTGCGGGGGCTGCCTCCCCAGGCCTTAGCGTGGCCTGTTTGTCCTCAGCACGGGAAGCAAAGTGGCTCTCCTTGAAGGTCACTTCCATCAGTGGCTCATAATTTCACTTAGAGCAGAAAGCAAAAGCTTTATCTTGGTTTTGGTTTTGGAGACCAGATGATTCTAGGCTTTTTTTGTCCCATGCCACCTCTACCCCTCCCTGGCCCAGTCACCTTTCTTTCCTTCTTTCTCCTTCCTTCCTTCCTTCCTTCCTTCCTTCCTTCCTTCCTTCCTTCCTTCCTTCCTTTCTTTCTCTCTTTTTTTCTCTTTTTTATGCTTTTCTTTCTTTTTTCTGAGCTATAGGTATGGGAAGCACTCTGCAGTTGGGGGACATTTCTCTCGTCAGGATTGTCTGCCTCAGCTGCACAATGGCATGCTGCTGTTCTATTCCAAGTTCCCATATGAGGGTGGCCTTTATTGATGTGCGTTATAGAACCCCAGGACCTCTGTTGTTACCCTCCGACTTCCCACCGGCTCTGCTCTTCTCCTTTCAGCATCTCACACCTGAAATGCTGCATCATTATCATTGTCTGTCTCTTGTATTTGGTGGGTAAGCCCCACAAAGACTGCTATGTGCTGGTTCCTAGAAGAATGCCTATTCACAGCAGGCATTTGGTAAATATTTGTTGGATGGTTAAATTAATAAATGAGAATAAAATAAGGCAGGGCTGAAGAGGATTACAACTGTTAAAAACCATATTTGACTTTTAATTTTGAAAACAAATTAAATACAGTTAAATTAAAACAGACCAGATGGTGCAGCAGCTTGGGCTCCACCCTCACGCCAGCCTCTGCCCATGGACCTCCTAAACCCCTGGCTTGACTCCTCTGTGGTGGGGCTTTCTATCAAGGGCATAGGGAACAGCCTGGGTTTGGAGAACAAGTTATTATCATCGACCCAGTTCTGATTTGCAACAAACTCATTTCCAAGAAAGATGAAGGCCGCAGTCCACCAGGGTTGTAATTATAAATAAATACACATGCAGCTAAGAGGGGATATTAGGAGAAAACAACTGAATTAGCATCTGCCAAAAATAAACATTAAAAAAATCCCCGTTGTTTTTTTTTTTTTTTTTTTTTCCCATTTTCAATTTCCTTTTTAGGAAACTGGGTTTTGGCTAAGAAGGCAGCCTCAGCAGCCGATTTGACGTTGGCATTCACTGATAGTTTCTATGAATGAGCAGTAGAGTGCCCAGACATAAAATCACTCATCAGATAGAGGCCCCATGCCCCTCTCCTATGAAACTTATTTTGATGCCAAGGGGTAAATTTCCAAAGCAATAGCCAAAGTTTAAATGGTTGGGGGAAAAAGCCTTTCTAGGCGGCTGTGGGGTCTGATTCAGGTGGTTTCCTGAAGGTTGTGGGAAGTTAAATCCATTTCAAAATAGGCAGCAGATGCTATTCTTTGAATGTTAGATGTATGGACTGAGTCTCATCTGCCCAAGAGTGGGTTCTGAATGACTCTTGGGCTTGTCCTACGGGTTTTAATGGAGTGGGGGAGCTGTTAGCAGTTAAAAAATAAAACGCCTCTTCAGTGGGCTTGCGCCCTTTCCTTTTTCCCACTTAGGAGGAAAATTGTGCTTCCAACTTGTAGGAGCTGGAGTGAGATTACCACCAGAGGGCCCTGTACAGCCAGAACCCGGGGCCTGTCCGATGCTGGAGACCCAGGCAGATGCTTTTCTTGGGTGGGTGCAACAGCATGGGGATACTGTTCTGTCTGGGGTGGAGAAGGGGCAGTGGGCATGAGGCAGGCTGGCTTGGCAGGCTTTCTGTTTTTGTGTAAGATAGAGTGATTTCCAAAGCAGTGTGTGCTCAGGTCTTTCAGTGTTGTCCTCAAGGCCCCTGCTTATGCACCTCTCCCAGAAATCTGTGCAGGAAAGGGCTGGGTTTGCTGGGCCTCACACTTTATCAGGAAGAGCTCTGCCTGTTTATTACTGTTACCTCCAGCCCCGAGGTCTGTGATTCTCAGGGGTTCCAGGAAGAGGGCAATTGCCTCCTCAGTCCAAGCCCGGCAAGGGTCATTACAGCCCACGGGTATTGGAGAGGCAGTGTGGACATTGGGGGTGACTTGGTTCTGAATCCAGGTCAGTCAGTGACCTGTGCTGGCTCTAGGCCCACCACCTTGCTGATTCTGGCACAGGAGGCTTGAGGGACATGGGAAGGGGCTTTGTTCTCCCACAGCCTGAGGTACAGGGGGAGCTGTAGGTAGGCCCAGGCTCCCCCGATGCAGGGCTGGGTGCCAGGTGGGATCCAAGACAGCCTTATGCCCTGTAAACATGAACCAGAGGAGAGCCAGAGGTATTTCTGATTTGGGAGCAGCTCTGAGGAAGAGCAGGTGTGAAAGAGGAGTGTTGGGGCATCTTCATGCCCCGGGCTGCTCTCTGGTCTTTAGAATGCCCTGGCTGGGCACATGCTGTGTAGTCATGCTGGGCCCAAGAGCAGGGAACCATGGAGAGCCATGCTTCACTCAACTGGGGTTTTCTGATCTCCCTTGCCCCAGCATCACTCCAAAACAGGGTCACCTGCTCACACAGCCCCATCAATGCAGGAAGCTTCCAAGGAGGTGTGCTGAGCCCTCCGGTTTTTTAAGCCCCTGGCTGTGTTGATGGAGAGAACAACAGGTCTGGAATTCTGTGCTTAAATTCTGTCTCTTATCCTGGCATTAAGCCAGGCTCTCTTGGAAGCCCTCAGAATAGACAAGAGGTGATGCCGTTCCTCAGGAGTCTGCCTCAGAGTGACTATCAGCCATGGGAGAGGATGGAAGGCCAAGATCAGGTCTGAGAAGGAGGTTCCTGTTAGGGAAAGTGGGAACAATACAGGTGTCAGCTTGGGGCAAGTGGGGCAGGAACCACAAGTAGGACAGAATGCTTAAGACAAAAAATCAAGGTATTTGTCTGGTGCGAGCTTCCCAAATCTGTGGTAGGGTGTGGAGTGGTCAATCCTGAAAGCAGTGCTTCCAAGAGCCAAAAGCACACACAAAACAAAAACAAAAACAAAAACAACAACAAAAAAACCCTCAAAAATACTTGGCCTGGCCACTCACCTAGCATAAATTTGTTAGGCTAATAATGTGTCACTTTGGGCAAGTCATTTAGCTTTTCTGACAGCACTGTCACCTCTAAAGTATAGGTAGATAACAGTGGCCTACTCCAGTGGATGTAAACAATCAAAAATAAGAAATATTGCAAAGGACTTGCTATGTGCCACAGGTGGATTTCAGTGCCCTGACAGCCCATTCCACTTATGAAAAAGCCCAAAACAGAGAAATGACACTAGGCCAAAAAGACAAGTGGTGGCTTGGCATGGCGGTGGCCTCCAGGGCTTGTGCTTAGTGAGACCTTTCTGCTACTGAAAGCCACAGGACTACTGATGCATCCGTATGGTGCGTCCTCATCACAGCTGTGTGTCTCAAGTAATCCACAGGACCACGTGAACAAGCCTATTCCACACCCCCTCACTATAAGCCACACCCCATGACAATAACATAGGAAGAAAGTGATTCTAGCAGAAGGAGTCAAGCTGCCCGTTAGTTGTCAGGGACACAATCTTTGGCCATGCTTCTCCTGCCCATGTTGGTCCTGTCCTCCCACAATTAAAGACCAAAAGGAGAAGTCCTTAGAGATGGAGGATGATCCTTTGAGATGCTGCTTGTCTAGTGCTCTGGCCAGTTTGGCCTTCTCTCCTACCTGCATCCTTAGTTTCAGATCTCCACCGAGGGGTCAGTGAAGCCCTTCTTCCCCTCATTCACCAGCACCGGCTTCTCTGTCCGTGTGTGCCAGACCAGGATCTGCATATCCAGAGACACAAAATGCAGTGGTACGGGTCCTCAGCTCATTCGGTCACCCTCTGGCAGCTCCCCCTACCCTGCAAGTATTGCTTCTACCCCATCCCTTTCCACTTTTGATCCATTTTAAAACTGTTCTTTTTTTCTATCCACCCCCTCATTTTTTTTTTTTCTGTTTGTATATGTGACACATTCAAAATACCTTCTGGAAGCAAGAAATCTAGAAAATAGAGACATCTCAAGACTTCCCAAGTGTGCGTGTGTGTGTGTGCCGTGTATACACGCATGTATGGAAGTGTGTACTTGCATTAGTGTGCACATATGTGTAGTCAGGAGGGATCATGGAACACAGATCATCCTATGGAGAGTCAGTGATCCTTAGGATTTCTTGAAGGAAACCTCTCCCCATGTCACTGTGGCCGCCTTATTCACAGTAAGCTACCATCCTGGGTGTGAAATGTAGACAAGCAAAGCTATTTTGAGGCCTCTTCTCTGTCCCCTCCCACCCGATCTACATAAGGTCTGAAGGTGTGTTTGTGGGTGCTTGTATTACTAGCTATCAGTTCTGAAGAGGGTCTTACCTTGGTGCAGTTTGCTGCCTTGGGCTCCAGGTCATTGAGTGTGACAAGTTCGCGAAGGAGGCTACTTTCCTGGTAGCCTCCCTTCACGCCACGTAGTTTGAAGTAGGCCTGGCTTCGCTGCAAGATGAGCCGCAGGTTGACGGCAAATCCGGCCATGTCTATTGCGAACGGCCGGTGGGGGTCGAACACTGTCTTCCAGCCAACCACCTTCCCTGCTCCATTCACCCTTGGGGCCTCATACCGAAGGCCACCAACGAAGGCCACAGGCCACACGGACACCCTCCTTGTGCTGCGCATCTACAAGGTGAGAACCTGAGTCAGGACACTTGGGTCTACGATGACCATGCCACTAAGTCTAGGTGGATGACTTAGTGATTGTATGAAGTTGTGTGTGTGGGTCCCCCCCAGTCTGGCCTCTAGACCTTCTGCTACTGATTTCTAGAGGAATCCGTAGAGGAATCGTACCCCAGGATGCATGCAAGACATCTCTCAGCCAAGATGTTGGCCATCTTCTCAATGTGGCCCAATGAGCCTCCCTCTTCAAAACTTAACAGGGATGCTCAAATTGTCCACCTAAGTGGTTTCTGGTAGCTATGTTAAATGACTCCATGTAAAAGGTCTCTTTGAGGGAACAAACCCCCAAGGCCCAGACTGGGGTTTGGGAGCTACACCCAAAGTCTCAGTCTTCCTTTTAACAGGCGGAGTTCCTTTAAAAGGCTTTCCTGGTTCTCTGCAGTGTGCAGTGAAGTGAGCCCAGCCTGAGGCTCCCTGTGTGTGTCTGCACAGGCCATATCATCCCCACGTGGGGACTATTCTCTGCTCCTGTCTTGGTGGGACCCCCACATCCTTCAGTCTCCCAGAGCCCCACCTGCTACTCTCCCTCCTCTAGTCCCCAGCGCACCTCTTCAAAGAGCTCCAGACTGTATGTGTTGTCATCATCTGCGAAGTACACTACACCTGGCTGAGTAGAGTTCCGGGGGAAGGTCTCCCGCAGCCAGCGCAAGGCCAGGTTACGCTGCATGGTTCCTCTCGGGATGCGAGGGTCTCGGGCATCACCTCGCAGCTTGTAGTTGCGTGGCGTCTCCACGTGCAGGTGTGTGTAGTTGAGGCCAGTGTCGCGCAGTAGGCGCGATGTCAGTGGCGTCCTGCGTGGAGCATCCTCCACCACCAGCCAGTGCAGGTTGGGCACATGCAGTAGTGTGTTGGCCATACGCGTCAGCTCTGCCTTCTGCACCGGTCTACTGTAGGTGGGTGTCACCACATGGATGGTGGGCAGCGTGTCGGACCACGGTGGCGGCCTCGTGTACACGTACTCTGTGCGCACCACCTCCACGATGTCGCGGTCAGACATGCAGTACTCCCTAGGGTCCGCACCGGGTGGTGCCTCATGCCGGGGGTCACTGCCCTCATCTGCAGGGGTGGGAGAAGGCGGTGCGGGGAGGGAGGGGACGAGGGCGCTGGCCTGGCTCTGATACAGGGCTCAAAGTCACCCCACCCCCTTCCAAGACAGTCTTGTCTCCTGCCCCCCTGAAGAACCAATGTCAGGGCCTGTCTCCTTGCTTCCATCTTTAGACCAGAAGTTCCAACCTGTGGTCCTGGAACTCTCATGAGAATTTTCCCAGTTTGGATTTCTGGGATGACATAGAAATGACCCCTTCATCATATTTGACATTCGTTTAGCTATTTGAATGCAGCTGACCACCTTCCAGTCACCTATCTCCAGTCTCTCAGTACATCAGGTTTTAAATGAAGAGTGTCCCGACTCTCGCCTCACACAGCACAGAGGAACAGCCATGTTCTGTGGTGTGGGTTCCACGGAGCCGGAAAGTGGTGGGAGTGTGTGGCTATAGCACAATTTGGATCTCAAAAGGAACTTAAGATTTCCCAGAAGCCCTCTAGTCTCCTGGCCTAGGTGAGCAGTTCCAACTTGGACAGCTCAGAAAATTTCTCACATCTGGAACATTAGCCTGGTTGGGGAAGCTGGCAGGCCTACTGGGAGGAGCAATCAGGGCTACTGGCATTCTTGTTTTCATCAGGTCCCTCATCTCCAAGTTATGCTTCTGGGTTTGAAGGATTCATGAGTCAAATAGAGTGTAGTGCTCACAGCTCACACATATCTCAGGAGGGGTGTTAATGGCCAGAAGCAGACTTGGAAACCTAAGCTCACACCCTGCGGTCTGCTGTTAACTGCGTGATCTAGAATAAGTTTCTTAGTTTCTGGGTGCCTTGATTTCAGTGGCCATAAAGTGGAGCTAGTAATATTAGCTTATAGCATCTGTTTGATGGAGTTATTGTATAGATAATAGCACACATCAAGGGCTTGGATCACAGCTAGGCACACACAAGTACTGTCAACTCCTGTGTAGGACACTAGCTAACCTGCTTCCTTGTGGCTCCAGCTATTATGGTGAGGATGATATGAGCAAGCCACCTTAAAGGGCTGGAACTTGGTCACAAGATGCTGGGCCATGGCTCCCCTCCTCTCTCCTCCTACTGTCCTGTCATCACCATTAACAACAGGTGGTTGCACAAGGCGTGAAGTCTAATGCAGATGAGCCCAAATGATCCACTTTTCTCTCCTAGGGAGCGCTTACAAAGTAATGTCACAAGGACATGGATTAAATTCTGAGTGTGTGTGTGTGTGTGTGTGTGTGTGTGTTGTGTTGTGGGGGGGATCAGGGAGATTGGCAGAGATGTAGCCATCAGAGGAGAGTTTTGGGTTAAAGTGAAAAAAAAACAATGTTGAGGAAAAAGGGATGGATATTCTGACCAGCAGGTAAGAATTCATTTATCTGGTAGCTGATAATATTTTGGAAACTGGGGCTGAGGGTGGAGATTTAGAGCCATTTTGCACAGCCCTCTACTATCCAGATCATCTGAAACAGGTGGGAGCCTCTTTCCTGGGGAAGTTCTCCATGGGTCAGGGCCTGGCTGCAACCTGCACTCTATCCTTCACCCTGGCCTCAGGAATTTTTCAACTCTGAATCCTAAAAGGCTCTTGGTCTGATGTCTCTGACCCTCACTCTGCCAAGAGGACAACAGACATTATGTCATTTTATAGATGGTAGTTTTAACTCCTCTGGGATGATGTATTCACAGGAAAACCATGATTCTAAACTGACAAGCCCCAAAGAGAGGCACTGATGTTGTGAGCAGGGGGTGACATCATGCAGAGGACCAGAGCACCCAGCAAGGGCAAGGGGACTGCAGCAAGAAGACTGGGGAGCTGTAGGGAGGTTGAAGGACTGACTGCATTCCTTGGTGGACAGCACAGCATGGGCTGTGAGCTCCATACTGTTATAACCAAATCAGGTGAGGTCTCTGACCATAGTGGTTCCCCAGACAATGATTTGTTGCAGAAATGGCTTGGGTACCTTCCTCTTTCCCATCCCTAGGAAAGATGGTGCACCTTTCGATGGCAGAACTACTGCCTGCCTGAGAGTGTCGCAGCTAGGTCGGGCAGAAGGTAGCTTTAGGAAGACTGAATGAGAGGTGGCTAGATGTGGAAGGCAAGGAAGGTCTGAGGGTGGAGATTTGGGTGTGAGTCGAAAAGATACCTCAAGACCCATAGTTAGAAGGACACTAATCCCGGCTCTTCCACTTGCTCTTGGGAAGACTCTTCCTTTCTTCAGGCCTTTGCCCAGTTACTCTCCTAAGCAGGAAATTTGATGGCAAAGGGCACACTGTCCTTGAGAGGTTTTTCAGCACAATACAAGCTAGGGTGTAGTTCTACAGGTACAGCACTCACCTACCATACAGTAAGCCTTGGGTTGCCTCTCAACAGTTCAAAATTAAGGCAAAACCGAAAAACACTCCCTCAAACCACAGTATAGTCCGGGACTCTGCACCTTCCTTTCCACCCCTGCTGAGTGGCTCATCCTTGCCCACTATGGAATTGGGTATGCATGTGTACACACTGATCCTGTTTGTTTTAATTCTTTAAACTTTGGTACTGCTTTGACAATTCAGAGCTTTGTGGACTTCAGAAGGGACTGCCCTCTGGGACCTGTTTCCTAGGAACAGTGAACAACTGCATTCCTGGATCTTCATCAGACCTTCCCCAAGCCAATCTTCCTCTGGCCTAAACCACCCAAGACCCAAATACAGGGCAAGTGAAACCACCCCCAAATCCAAAGGCTCACAGAAATCATCCATGCTATCCACCTTTGAGACATGGTAGTACATGCTGGTAATAATACTAGAGAGGCTGAGGCTGGAGGATGGCCATGAGTTTGAAGCCTGTCTGGGCTACATAATGAGTACTATACCAATTAGAGCTATATAGTAATATAGCTGTCTCAAAAAAGGAAAATAGGACCAAAACAAACCACCTCCTACTAAGCCCGATTAACTGCTTCTATGGCTTTTCTCTATCTGAAATGACCACATTATAGGCTCTGTCCTAGCTTGCTTCACCCCCTCTGCCTCCTGACCAGTGCTCTCCTGTGTTGACTCCTGTATCATTACAAACCCAATCATCTTGAGAACCGAGAGTAACAAGTTGCTTTTTCAAGCCACTTGACTTGGTGTCTGTCTGGATTGTGTCACACTTGATTATAATAAATCCCAGGTACTTAAAACAATGTGTGCAAGGGGAGATAGGGGTCAGGAAGAGGAAGAGGAGGGGGAAGAGGAGGAGGTTTTCAGTGGAGTCTTAGAGGGCCCCAAATTCCCCCCAAGGTAAGGCCGGGGCCCAGATGTAAAAAGAATGATAGCAGGGTAGCTTTTATTACCAGAACCAGGCCAGGGCGGGGGTGGGGGTGGGCTCACCCTTGTGCACAGCAAGCAGAGGCGCGAGGCTGCTCTGGTGCCAGACGGTGATGAGCAGTGTCCAGGGAAGCACGATGAGGACGATCGCAAGGATGTCCCGTCTTTTCGGCATCTCCAAGGCTGGCTGCACCCACAGCTCCTCATTACCTGAGCGGTGCCAAGGTCAGGGGAGGGTGGCCACGGAGCGCCGGCAGCACAAGGGAGAAAAGAATAGGCATGGGCCGGCCGGCCAGGCACAGGGAGGCAGAAGCTGAACACTGGCCACTAACTCTCACCAGCGCTCACACCCACCCATTTCGGAAGCAGGTTTGCAGAATCCAGCCTGATGGGAGTCTGCGAAGGGGCAGTAGTTCGTGGCAGGGTCAGGAACCTTCAGAGGTTGATACCTGTAAGAGAGAACAGGTATCAACAGGTTGATACCTGTTGATGGGTGGACCAGAGATGTGGATATAGATTGCAGAGACTGGCCTACTCTTGACCGTGGCATCCAGTGGTTCTCAAAGAGTGTCTACCTCCCCAGGGCCTTTTCTGTATAACTGTCTGGATGAATAATCCTGTGTCCTTCCCTTGGCATGCAGACATGTACAAGAGCAGTAGAATGCAGTGCCTAAGGACACAGACTTGAGAGACATCTGCTGCAGCTTTTGGCCAGTTCCATCAACTTCACACTAGTTTCTCAAGTATTGATCAGTCACCCGCTTTCCAAAGCTGTTCTTGGAATTAAGTGAGTTAAAGTCTCAGAAAGCACCCAGACATGTACTGGAAACTCTGGCTGCTATGTTGTTCATACTAGTACAGGCAGTTTCTTCATAGCTCTGGCCCAGTGTCATCCTCAGGAGGGCCCCCACAAGGATAAGCAGAGGTGGATAGGGTTGGACACCACAAGGAGAGGCTCTAAGTGCCCTCTGTTTGTGTCTGCAGGGGATGCTTGCAGGGCACCACCTTCTCGGAGGATGAGCCTCAGGTCAGAGCTGAGCATCTGCGGGGAAAGGGGCTGTTGTCTAAGGAGCTGCCAGGTAGTAGGGAGACATTTCTCAAAAAACAGCAGCGGGGAGAGCCTCAAGCAAGACCCCGTGCTGTAGAACAACTTGATGGAATTCACTCCTGGCCCTGCAGAGGGTCTGCTGGTAGACCCCTCTTGGGGAACTTGCTTTCCCCTATGATAGGAGAGAAAGTGTAACCAGCTCATAGCCCCCCTGTGGATGATCACATCCATTCTTTCTCTTCCTTCCCTTCTTCCTGTGCAGATGCTGCCAGGTCCATGGCTCATAGGAACACTTAGCACTCTGGCTGGCCCTCAATATGCTCATCATGCCAGAGCCCATCACTACATGCTAGACGGTCACCCCACAGACCATACTGTGTCCCATCCAGCCCACATGTGCTCTTGGTTTCTGCCAATGGTGAGAGTTATGGCCAACTAGGGCATTTTGTGACCCAGTTTTGGAAATGGTGTGCAATTTTCTTCTCCTCAGGTCTTTTTTCTACTAGTCCTAGTGTCTGCTGGGAGACCAAGTTATGCTTTCTACTCAAGAGCATCACCCTGGGGAAGCCAGCATCCCATGCCCAGCCCTTCTCATGAAAGGCCCGAAGCTTCTAGAATCAGTGTCAGCAGGCCCCACCTCATTCCTTAGGGAATGAGAGCAGCAGGTTAAGCGCCATGTGATAGGCCAACGGTGGGGCACCCAGGAGGGAGCACATGCTGACAGAGAATGGGCCAGCACAGGGATGTTAGATCTAGCTGGGGCCTCAGAAATGTCTGGTTCTCAAATGAACCTGGTTTGGGTGAAGTGAAGCAGAAAAAAGGAGGTGAGCACCCACTGGCCTGAGCCTGTGTGGTGCTTTCCTGCTGCCACTCCTCTCCTTCTGGGCAGCTGCTCAGACCTGTGGCGCACTCAGCCTTCCTTGTGTCTGGCTGTTGCACTGCTCATCATAACTGGCTTTCCTACAGCATTCATGGTGACCGATGACAAAGATGGCTGACAGTGTTTACACATCTACTCTGTGCTGTCCTCAGAGCTACCCTGAGAGGCAGACACTGGTATATTTCTATTTGCAGCTGGATTCACTGAAGCAATATGGGTAAGCAATTTGCCCCTGGTCAGAGACAGGAAATGATGGAGCCAGAATTACATCCAGGCCATGTGGTTCTAAGTTGTTGCCTGGTTAAAAACTTGCTTAAGAGCCACCTTCCTCCATAGCTACCTGAACTGTGGACCCCAATATCTGCTGGATGCTGGAAAAGGAAGAAGGAACAGGAAGGGACAATATGAAGGATATGGGCCTGAGGTAGGGGGCCATTAGGAGTGTCTGATTCCATTACTTTTTTTTTGGTAAAAAAAAAATCTATAAAAGAAAAGGGAGGGGAGGCAGAGAAACAAGCTCTAAAAATAAATTTAGCAATAAACCCAGTTGTGCATTAATTACTCTGGAAGCCATTACAGCTTGAAAACCCCATAACTTTAATGGAGGCTATTATAAGCATAGTGGCAAAATCGTGGAGCTAATTACCAGGCGGTTATTAAGTAGAGCAGAGAGAGCCCCCAGACTTGGAGAACACCATCTGGCCAGCAGGGGATGGGTCCAATGGCAATGGTGGTTGGCTTTGGGCAGGAGGCCAGGGGTATAGGCTGTCCCTATACTGGACTGTGAGACCAAGGTGGCTTGTCCCACACAGACTATGGTTTCAGCCAAGGTTAGGAGAAATGTGGTGATTGCCTGTGGTAACAGCACAGACTATAATGGTTTCTGAGGCCTTGGCTGGGGCAGCCAAAAGAACCAACAGAAAGCTGTGAGAAGGCAGAATCAGGGTGGAGAGAACAGGGTGTTTGAGAAATAATAAGCAGCTTCTGAAAGGGGTTTTGTGGCAAGAAAGGACATGTTTGTATGGAGAAGTGTGGGTGCTGCTGGTCTGCTGTGTTCATGGTTTCCCATGCCATTGCCAAGCGCCACACACATGCTTCTGGTTGACCTCGGTGACTTCTGGCCTCTCTTCCCAGCACGTATGGATATGAGAAGCCTCCAATTCCCCGGTGTTCTCTAAGCATCCCATGAGCAGGGACAAAGGAGACATTGTGGGTGCAATGGGCAAGGCTCAGTGAGAAATACCTATTGGGTGAGGAGCAAGAGCTGGGACAGTGGCAGGCCATGTCACCCCAGGGGTGACTGTGTTCACACTGTTCACCTTCCTGATCTCTACTTTCAAGCATGGAAGTTGACTGGAATAATTCTAATGAGTTTTCAGCTCTGCTGTTTTAACAGCATGAAGCTATGATGACTGGTGTCTATGAGTATGAAGACATCAGGCAAGTGTATCAGTCCAGATTCAGTTTCAGAGGGCCACCATTTATATTTCCCTATGAAACTGAGTCATGATGAAAACCCATAGACCTTTGGAGATAGGCAGAGTTGGGGAGAGCTAGCCACAGGATGTTTTTCTGCAGGCTTCAATGTATTGTGGGGTACAGATGAAGGCTAGCGGTGTCTGGGGAACAAAATAAGGAGCTCTATCATCCAAGGCTGGAAGAACAGGGTGGACAGACCAGGAGCTGTTAGCCCAAGAGGGCCAGAGTGGTGTGTAAGGAGGGCTCAAGGCTGGCCAAGTCTACAGAGACAGAAAGGCTTTCTCCTGAGCCCACAATGTTTAAACGATGCCCTTGGTACCTGAAGATGGGCGTATTGACCTTCACTTGAAAAATATTAATTGTGCATCAAGCCTTTATGCCCAGTAATTCTGTACATTTAACTTCTCTCAGTTAACTTCTCAAATTAGAAAACCCATGAAGAAAAGATGAGTCTTCTAGACTGTGGGGTTCAGTGTTATTATCGGTGAGATAATTCTTGCCTAGTATGTCTGAGTTCCTAGGCTCAATCTCTAGCATCAAACAAACAAACAAGCAAACAAAGCACCCAATAGAACACTTTTCATAGACATGCAGAGGAATGTGGAACCTTTCTGTGGAGCCTGGGAGCTGACACAGGCGACTAAATCTTTCTATAGGATTGCAGTCAGCTTCTCAGGAGGGGCTTGAACTGGGGACCCTGGTGACTGGGGAGGTTCTTGGCCCTCCATGGGGGGATGCAAACAGAAAGATGAGGGGAAATTTTAAAGAATATAAAGGTGTTGGCCCCGACCCCAGCATCTCTCTTTCCTACACAGGGCCTCTCCACAGAAACAGAGGCGAGGACTTTGTCCCAGGGATCTACAGGAGCCCCTAATGGGATCAAGGGATTAGTATTGATTCTGCAGGCATTGCTCAGGAAAAGCCCGATGCCAGAGCTAATCAGCTTGCAGCCTAGTCAATCCATACTTCATTAACCCAGCCCCAGCCCTTCAGCCACAGCGCTGCTGTCTTGAGCTCACAACAGTCTCTCCTGTGGTGCAGGACACAGACATTGGCTGCTCCCTGTATGACAACCCCTAGAACACATAGGGGGCCTGTAGAGCCTCCTGTTCTTCATTCATAGGGGAGTAAGGGAAGGTAAAGAAAGAAGGGGTCAGGGCTAGAGAGATGGCTCAGTGGTCAAGAGCATTGTCGGTTCTTCCAAAGGACCCAGGTTCAACTCCCAGCACCCACATGGCAGCTCACAACTGTCTGTACTTCCAATTCCAGGTGGTCTGACACCCTCACACCAATGCACATAAAATAACTTTAAATAAATTATATATTAAAAAAAGAGGGAAGGGGTCTCCTAGAAGTTCCATTCAGAACTCTGCCTTGATACATGGCATTTTTGCAAAGCCAAGCTCTTTGATAGTCACAACAGCTCTGCATGGTAGGCAAGAGGCCTTGTCCCCACCTTGCATTGGAAGACATGGGAGCTTAGGCTCAGAGTTTGAGTGTTAAGTGTAGGGGAGGCTGTGAACCTTGACTCCTGCTCCTGTCCACTCCATCCCCTTTATATGGATTCTTCTGGGTCTTGCTTTCTGGCTCTCCTGGTCTACCATTGGATCCATTCACTGGAGGTTTCTGCCTCAGGAAGGAGCTACAGGGTTCCTAAGGCTACTTGTATTCTGCATCCTATTTCTATGCTGCCTGAAGGGAGGAAGGACTAGACCCAGGAAATGGCAATGTCTTCCCTTGTGGCCTGTCCCCTGCTGCCTGGCACTTGTTAATAGGAAAGGCAGCACGAGACTCTGATCTCCTGTCATCTTTGTCTCCAAGCTGAGGACTCGGGGAGAAGGGGCCATTATATCACCCCAGATTTGGTGTAAAGAATGGTTTTCTTTTCTTCCAGCCCAACATTGTCAAAATCCACATGGTTTGTTGAAAAAAAAAATCAAGGTAATTCCTTTTTCTTTTCTAGAAACAGCCTTGAATTGGATTTAGATTATGATTAGGTTTAAAATGAAAACTGGGTTTTAGCTTAGCATGGTTATCTGGAA